ATATATTGTTGGCGGAAGATACTACGTCAGCGAAGAATTTCTACAAAACGTTTCAGTCACTTGTAGGAGGACTAGATCCGCTCGTTGTACATTTCAAGAACATGATCGGTTCTAGCTGATCAATCTACCCCGGCATTTGGCTAAATTTGGTTGGCGTTGACAGCATCAATCCGAAGGTGGTACGTCTAGTCTACTTAATGCGTATCGCCAATGAGTATTTACTCAGCCCAAGAAGCTCTAAGCACTCGATTGACTGTCCCAAAGACTGTCACATCGTACGATCAAAAAGTAGCTATTACCTATTGTACAGGATTATATTCAATGTCGGAAAACCTGTATTAAGGTGTCTAATGCAAATGTTAGCCAGTGAGCGTAGTATAGAGCTAATAATGCATCCTCGATGCTCGAGAAAAGGCTGATCTGATTTGTGGTAACTCACAAGCGCCTCATGTGTGAGGCTGTGTACAGGAGGTGTACAGCTGAGGCCGTCACTTTAGACTCGACACTCCGGTATCTGCTATGAGGAGCAATCTTTCAATTGGTCTCGGACGCTATAATATTATAGAAGTAAAATATACGTAGGCCTTAAAAAATTATTGTCGCTTGGAGACAGTGATATTGTTTTTGCCGTTAGAGGACAACTACAATGATAACCTATCTGTCATTACGATGGGGTCCAACGCTCGACGAGGGGTTTGTTCGCACAGGTCCTGTACCTACACACGGGCTACAAGTTGGTGAAATCACTAGCACGCAATGAAAGAGTCAATACGATTTGTCGTAATTGCATGCCTGTCATTATTTTTGCTAAAATCTTGATAATGATGGCGCAGCTGATTTGGTGCTATTGCGTCTCTAGTCCACTCTATTTTCCAGTGTCAAAATTGACATTTTGACTGTGTGCTAAAGGCTACTTGTAAAACTCAACGATTCGTCGAGTTAGTTATTGCCGTAAAAAAAAATGTCGTATTTTGTAGATATGCGCCCTATTTGGTATAGCTCTAAATATTTGATGGTAAAGGCGTAGTTCAAAATGGCTGCTTTTTATAATTCACGTGATTCAAAGTGATTAAATCGATTCCTATCGACCCGGTGTTTTCAATAATAATAACCGTGATCGAGCTTTTTTTATGTGGCGAAATATTGAAACGGTAGAACCCCTACGCAGTCGAGAGTGAGATACCTAAATGGTGATCGTTATATTATGCTGTAGTTAGCTAGTTCGTTTGATTACGTTTCAATCGGCAACGACATTTTTCCCGAAAGATTTTGTCAATTATTCAAACGGGTCAGCCATTAGGCCATCGATATTGAACGCCTAAGTACCACCTAACCAATATATAGAGTCATATGTTTGACGTTTTCTCATAACTTTTTTATGCTCAATATTTGAATATACAACACAAGATGAATCGAGTAGCGAAAGAAACAGAGGAACTGTGGTGTGCAGTATCTACTTCGTAGCAAAACCAACGACAAGAGGCCTCATGAGAAACGGAATTTCAGCAGGGTGGTATTTTTTCATTGTTACGGAATGAAAGCCGACGTACTCAATGACCTCACCGATCTGCAAACGGAGAACAATAAAATCGACTTCATTCATTCAAATACAGAACACGTGTCGTAGTTTTAATCAATGCTGTAAATATCATATCGGTTGAAATCCCTACCAAAATAAAGGTATTCAAATAAAAGTATAGCAAATCTGTTAACTAGCAGACTAGCTTACCGCTCCGTGTAAGTTAGTGCCGTACGCGATAATTCTCTTACCCTTCGTGAAACGTTGCATCCGTCGTTACACATTTTCCATATGGGGTTGACGGCTTTTTGGATCGAATAGCCCCAACTAGGATCTTGATATTGTTCGTGTTCTAAGAAGTAGTACCGGCCTCCCTAACAAATGGCGGAAAGAGTGACATTAAACAACCTATTCAACAAGAACAAGTGAAAATCGCTGAGCATCATGTTAGCCTTGTTGTTTAACAATGTCGAATTTGGCCCGAATAATGGGTTTAGACGGGCTGTGTATTTAGTCATATAGGTAAACCGAATGCCGACGGCCATTCATCAAGCGTCGCACAACGCCATATTAGATTTTTTCTAGTCTTATTTCAATTTTAATAAAACGAAGCTTTCCACCTAAACTTCAGCAGATGAGTTTGATTTAGCTAATCTCTTTGGATTCTTTTTATCAGGGACTAGACTGAGCAGATTGTATTTCTCGATAGGCATTCTTTTTTGATACTAGAAAAAATGTTTGTTTTATCAAGCTTTATCTGTGGGTTAGGGAGCAGTCGCTTTACGGGCGAACATACGTAGATGAACAATCTCAGACATAGATCAACCTCAGGCCGACTGGTGTGTTAGCTCACGTATTTTTAGTCAATTTAAGCGCCTCTGAAAGGGTCCCGCGCCGCCGAACTTCGCCATCGATAGAAGCTAAAGAAAATAACAAAGCTAAAATCGTTCATCATTACCGCAATACAATAATAACTGTGATAGTCAAATCAGCAAAGCTTTCAACGCAATCGATTTGCATTTTGCGCATTTGATGACCAAACGTGCATGGTCATCGACCCTTTCCACCGGGTCCTTGTTGTGCCGCCAACTTATCTTCAAATTCAAATTTCCATAATGGTATGTATGCGTAGGTAAAGCAAGCATTCGTCTTTTCATCAAACACGAACGTCTTGGGCTTTGCTAAAGAAAGCTTTGCTAGTTATTACTTCACTCGTTGTCCATTGTTGCACTCACTAACATTTGCGAGTGAACGAAGCAAAAATGACAGTAAGCCATGAACGCCATTTATCTAAGAGGGGCGCTGGATTCTAAAGCGGGCTAAAATTTCCTAAAATAAGCTTATGCAAAGAGGTTCAGACGCCCTCATGACAGGAAGCCAACATTACGACTTATCCATAGAGAGCACGTGCTACTTACTTAAGATGTCTAATTAATTCAAATACAAGCGTTCCGAAACTACTATCATCCAACTTCCCATTGAGAAGTGTATAATACAGATTACATTACGAGGTAAGTTTCGATTTGTCTCATATTTGAATATGGTCGAATTTTACCTAGTTGATTGGTAGCCAAGGCCCAACTGAAGCCAGTAACGTTACCTTGGCCAAGACACGCTTAATTTCACGCATGCTAACAGCGAGATTTTCGACGGAGCAGCATACAAGTGTTGCCACCACCACGTCGACAGATGCATCCGGTAAATCTTTGAGTGATTCAGGCCGACCTTGGATGAAGCGTTCGACCTTAATGTGGGAGAATGGAAATTCATGTTGCTTTTTTTTGTAGAGTTGCTCAAACATGAGCTCCGTCTCTACTATTACGACCTTGGAGCCGCGTGGGTAGAACTCGAAGTTACTGCCCGTACTGGGGTTCAGCTCCACAATGTATAGCCTGCCTGTAACAAAGAGCTTCAGTTATTTCGTATTAGTGAATAGTGAAACGTAATCTATTGAATGCCTCGTCACATTAGTACTTTCGTCGGATGTCGAAATAAGATGAATAGCTACCGTCTATCGTTCTTTCTTTGCATATATGTTATATTTCGTTCACCACTATTGAGCAGTTTAAATGGGCTTCAATAAAAAATTACGCTAAATAAGGAAATAACGAGCAGTAGAAAAGGTTGCATATGAAATCCCTCTTTCACTACATACGTTATATCAAGACCAAATATTTTTTAAACATCATCTAATTTTTGCAACGTCATTTGTCCAGGGAAGTTTCGAAAGCTACGATAGAAAAGTAAGCGTTATAAAGTATGAAGATCTAACGTAACATAGCATCTAATATTCCCAAGGACTTCTTTCTAATACGAAGTCCTTTAATTGAAATTTGTTTCACGTGAAGTTCATGAGCTTCTACAGCGCTAAGTAGCACAACGATTGCGGAAGCTTTTTTATTAGATTTCTATTTACAGGGGAGGATGTTTTTATGTCGTACTGTTTGCATTCGCGTCATGGGAACGTAGTTGGAAGCAACTATTTGGAGCAGTTTCTACCAAAAATCGTCTCTCACCATCTTTGCGTAATTGGGCATCGTGGGATTTCAGATCCTTGAGATTCTCGAAAAGCACCTTTTTGAAACGAGCAAGTTTGGTGGTGTTCTGCTTCGATTTTAGATCTTCTCCGTAAAGAAGCGCCATAATTTGCCTGACACCTAGACGAACCTGCAAAGAAAATCAACATATAGTGGGAAAGCAAAAGGTTATATTGTATACCTCTAACATTAATAATCTCTCTCTCTCTCTCTCTCTCTCTCTCTAACCCTTTCAATATGTATGTATAGCTAGGCCAAATTGTATCTACTTATTGGTTCGCAGTGATACTTGTTGGGTTTTTTTTTGAGTGCTTCATACTTCAGATTCTGCACTCGTTTGGACAGTGCTACGGAAGCCAGGCGCTCGTGTTCGACTTCGCAGTTGCGGAACCTCAATGTGTGTTCCTCCGGCACTAGTGCTAGCATTCACTTTCACCATTTGTGTTCATCAATCCATCCATTCGAATTTTTTTAACAAATATCGAAATTTCATTAGTTGAAACTAAAGACCAGCCAATTTTTTAGAGTTTCTAAAGTATAGCTTTTAAAAGTACCATCTTACGAACATTTCAAGCCGAAGCAAAATTTCTATGTATAGTGTGAGCTACCTACAAACACCATACCTGCTTCCTAAAAATCACCATGACAAGAAAGCTGACCAAGGGTGCTGCAGACCAAAGCACTAACGGTCGTTTCTGGAGCTGTCGTAGCTGGGCAAGCGCTGCCTGTGCAGCTGTCACCGATGATGACGACATTCCAGTTTTGTTTGGTGGTCGGGATTAAACACCTATATGCTTAAGCTGTTTTATTTAAATTTTCTATTAGATTTCTATGTATTCTTATATATATATATATATATATATATATATACATATACATACGTACGTTTCTACTGAGCTGAAATTTCTCTCCAACCCAAGCTAAACGATTGCGGGGTCATTCTGATTTTGTTTTTCTAATTACCTGTTGCCATGATATTGGAACGACAATTGACAAACTTTTCTAAAAATCAACCTCGTCCATGTAATATACTCGCTAACCAATGTGGTTCACATATTTCGTATAACTTCAGACTTCTGGAGCGCAACAGGGTTATCTTGAAGCTGTTTAAGTTACTGTCGTGATAACGTAGTATTCACAAATCGAAATCTGTTCACTTTGAAATCTCCATCTCATCTATTGTTATCGACCTGAAAGACAAACCTGCTGTAGCCTTTTTGAATTTCTTTTAAACTTCTTGTACGTCCACTTTGCACACGCACTTCACTGACAGTTTGAGTTGAGCCCAGTTCACTACTTCGCTAGCGATGTCTTCAAATATGTGTACCCCTATCGGCAGGACGATTTACTTCACTGTGTTCCTGGCACGGTCCCGCAAGCCCTGGGGAGCAGCATGAACTGTTTACTCTGTAATGCTCCATCGCTCTGAAGATATGACCAGCAAACAATTTAGGCACTCTTCATTCTATTCAGCTTCTCTTTTGTGACTCTACAGGCCTGCTTCCCATTGCGGATTGGCTATGAAAAAAAACTAATAAATTAAAGCGCAACGCACTTTCCCACTTTCGCTCTTGATATTGCCGAACGGCCCCTCTATCTAGGCACTTTCTTCTCGAGTGTCGGCGCCCTTCTTGTGTATTTATAAAGTGTTTGTCTGTCCGTCTGGTAAGGTCTGTCTACATACGAACGTGTCCGCATTGAAATCTATTTCAATAACTGTGTTGCAACAACATATGCTTTCATTGCAGCTATATATACTGAAGAAACCCGTGAAATGCTTGAAGTTTGGGTTAAAGATAGACTAAAGTCGACTTCCATTGGCCGTCCGCAAGGCTTTTAACCGTAATATCAATCTTTATCGCGGTTCTCTTGGTTGCCTGCTATAGATGGATTTTGTTGATTTGAGCAGATTAATAAATGATCGGAATAAACAGCAACTTTTGGAGCCGTGATTCTACCGTTAGTCCCAGTGGCCCGATAAGGCACCGGTTGTTATGATGTGATAGAGCCGCTTTCATTGAACAACTTGCATTATAGATTGTAGCTCACTGTTTACCTCTGACTCGATTTACTTTTACCATTTCTTTTAGTCCATCAGCTTCTGTCTGTTGGACAGGGTCATATTAGCTAGAACTGAAGTAGGATTCATAAGCTGAAATTCACGAATAATATGTCGAATTTTGTGATATTACATAACGGGAAGCTGGAACAAATATAGACATATCTAAATGTTTGCATTACGTATCCTTTCAATCAACTACTCTATCATTTACGAATCCCGAAATGAATAATTAGAGCCTGGTGGAGCTGCGCAGCAGGCTGACAAACCTTACATCATGAACTCGTGACTTGCTTGAGTGTCAACGATTTCAAAATCGATACTTCCCAAACAGTGACAACGCTAGCTCTCATTGGGGAAAGTTAGGTAGCGGTGCGAGATCTGGACGGCAAGCCGCTAGCCGTCCCTCTGCACTGTCTGCGATCCATTGTCGTGAAGACGAGAAGCTAGTAACGACTTCAGCCCATGGCTGTACTGGGTCGGTAACTATTCCCTCGGTCTATGACCGTTGCCACGAAAAGCCACTGTGTCTATCTTCGTATTGTCGTGTTACTATTACATAACGTAACTATAGAGCAGTACGCGAAGTGCCGTCGCCTTCATGTTATTATGATAATTGTTAGCCGCGTTTTTTGCTGTGACGGCATTCCCGCTAATCACGTTTGCCAGCATCGTGGACAGCAGTGTCACCTGTAGGTGGACGCCGGCTTCGACATTGATGACGAAAAATAGAGGAGTGCAATGACCCACAGTTATCGTCGTTTTTTTTTCCCCCCTGCTTTATTAGTCGTACCAGATCAGACCGATTTGCCACGTAACACCAGCTCTCGACAACTAGCAATGGCTAGGTAGAAGCCAACGTGTGTAATGTCGCAACGAACTGTCCCTGGTCATAACAGCTGTGGTTCCTGTGGACAAAATAACCATTGCTATATTTTATAAACACGCAAATAAGATCGAGGCATGATTGATGGCGTATGTAGTAATGGAGTAAATCGTGAGACTAACAAATTCATTTGCGCATGTGTCAAATTCGACACGATCACATAGCAACGCATAGAAGTAACTGACTGATAGGTTATATTAAAGGCGCAATTGTGATGGATAGAAAACTGATCAGCGGTATAAGTCAGCTGGGGTCTGAAAAATTCATTTTGCTGAAAAAATTAAAAAAAATATCTTGGCAAAAAAAGTGAGCTTTACTCGTCAACATTTGTAACTGATGCTAGAAAAACGCGGCTTTTCATTGGAATAAATCTGTAGTTGTTTCCCTATTTTTGCACATGTTTTGCCATATTGACGTGTCGCATGCTCCGTACCCACCTATATGATTTGATATGATGAGTTGAAATTCTGGACGGTTTGCTAAATCTAATAAGGGAACTACAATGCTCAATAGTTCATATGATTGATGTAGATGCAATCAATGTACTATATGTTTCGTACTTAAATTCAATCCTCTGCGAGTATTTGATGAAAAAGTGTAATTTTAGAATAGTAGTAGGTGTTTAAACGTAGACTTTCTCTAAAAATAGTCACGCTAAATACTTGTCTCTTACAGAATATATAATCGTTATTAATTGATTTAAGAGTATGATTTTTGTGCGAGTATGTAGTTATGTAAATTATCGATAGTAAATTCTCTATTTATTCTGTGTTAAAAGCTATCCTAAATCTATAAAGCAGTCAGTATCGAAAAATCATACATAAAAAAACACAACGTTTCATCGCTCAGCTGTTTGTTGACAACAGTTAACTGGTTTTTCACATTATCATAAAAATCTGTTAACGAAAACACTGTTCTGAATGATACGGATGACGCGCTATATTTCAATTTCAAAAATCTGTTTATCAATCTCATAATCGATTAATAAATTAAACACACTTTCACTAAGTTACAATCATTCAATCATCGTTCGAGCGAGGAACTTCTCTGCATGGAATTTAGTCCTCTTATCATCGTCATTTCCGTATAAATCTAGCACACCGGAGGGTTTTATGGATCAACCTTCAAAGGCACATCCACCCCACGCTGGACACGTCCTAACACACTAATGTATAACTGAAGATATGTTCGCACTTGTTAGGCACTATTAACTTTTATATAGAGACTATAAAAATGGTTTTAAGGGTCTTTATATATATGTACGCGAATTCACGCTTCTCCTTAGTAGTTCGCAGAGTACCTAGACAGGTATCACCGTGTCATTATTGTATATCAATCGTATATTGTAAAGATTTTTGCTTATACATACGATATAGGAGGATCCATACAATTAACTTACGTCGCTTGTGTACAGATTGTAATTGACTACTAGTAGTGATTTCGTCCTGAACATACAAGAAAGATAGCAAGCAAAATGGGTTCTAAGTTAGATCTTTGCAGCAGAGGCGAATCATACCTACTAAAACTAATATCGACCTAAAAAGCTATTCCTTAAACCGCAGCAGTAGTTTCATTTATCCGCTGAAAATTTTTCACCGTCCAAAGGCTTTTTAATTTTGTTTAAATTTTTTTTTAAAATAAATTAACGTAAATATAATCAACTATTTTCTTTTCATTGGTAGAATTTATAATAGTCGGTTGAGTATAAGTTATAGATCCACACTGATGTGGATTAATTTTCTTCTGTATTTAACAATTAGCTTTTTAAAGATGAGGCAAACAATACATGTTTGCGCGACGTGCCCATAGTTTTACTTGATATGTTTCCCTATAAATTAGCATTACAAAAGTTTGCCAACCGGAGCACCTAACCTACTGACATAGATACGATACTCAGTGGCTAAGCTGCGGCAAAATACGTTTGGGGAATGGGGTGAACTATAGAACCGTATTTAGTGAACAACCCCCTTATAATAAGTCAGATTACTTTCTGCGAAGATAAATGGAAAGTTCAATTTGGAATCGTCGTCTGTTCATCACGACATTGTATAGGGAAACAGCTGTTTTGAGAATGGTCTAGCTTTTTCAAATTCTTCGAAAATATAATACGATATTGTTGCAGGGGATTAATACGTACGAATCGCTGCCTCGAATAATTTGATGTAGTTAAAAATAGGATAAGATTCCTGTAGGATTCTTAATTGGATACCTGATTATCACAGCTTCGTCAGCGTTGTAGCATATTCGCTTTATTAAACCTATTTACAACTCTACCTTCATGTTCTAGTAAACTTGAACAGAGAATGAGTACTGTCTACTTCGTTGACCCCCAGACTCACAGATCGCCAAAGAAACTTCCTGTAGAATTCAAAACTTGTAATTATCTCTTCGAAAAGTTGTTTATCAGTTTCTGTCATTGCTAGCTAGTTCGAAACTCAGAATAAAGATTATTGTTCATGGTCGAACTTGATCGGTGAGTCAGACAGAGAGCGGTCGTAATTCGCCAACACTTCTACTTACTAGTATGGCTTCTACAGAGTTAAAGTGAGGGATACTGACGTTACGTAGATCAAAGTCGCATGTTATCATAGCTAGTCGTTCTGCGCCTAACAATCTGCTAGAGAATCATCTCTAGTTTCCACGCATCTTTTTCTTTATATCGATGAACGGACTTGGTTATATAGAACGGACATGGTCGACTATGTTTGCTATCAGAGCGCACACCAAATGCAGCTGCTTCAAGATAATAATTGAATTTTGCCGCGTAATATGCCAGCGACCTCCCGCCCCAAATGCACACACAGCGCCACCTCGTGTGGCCATTACACCTAAATCCCTGACATTCTGTTTTTACTTAATCATGTCTCTTGTATTGTATATGCATATGAAAATAAATACATGACTGATACTGTATTATATATATATATATATATTTATATAGCTGTTATGAACCCTATTTTGTGCTATTCACTGTGCGCCAAGCTAAAGATTGTCGCGTTTAGCTTTCATTGAGCAGAAAAACAGCTGAGATATTTTTTTTTAACAAATAATAGTAATATAGTTTGTGATATGTAGAAAATGTATGAAATGTGTTATTACATAAGACAAAGCAAATGCTCCTTCAAGAAGAAATGTCCCCTGGTTAAAGTATCGAAGGAATATAACCATTAACAATTATCTAGTTTTATCATACTTCTATAGCCATAGTTGTGAAAGCACAAATAAATAGCTCCAAGCTTATATATTAGATCAAACAGTTAGGACCTACAAATTCTTTATGAAGTTTATGTACGGCACAAGAAAGCGAACCAATTATTATCTCAGACTTATTAAAGCTAACTTATTCACGCAGTCCAATCACTGTATATCGGCTGTTATGTGCTTTCTAGAAAACAGAAATTCCATTCTTTGAAGTTTTGTATTGAAATTCAGCCAAAGTTGACCAACCACCCGAGGCCACACATCGTTTTATTTCTAGCCAGCTAAACAGATAGCGCCATACTTCTTGCGGACTTCAGCTTCCTGTAGAATAATTGCGCGAAAAATTACTATACTCTGAAACTTCCCTTATTGGAAGACGTGTTTAAAATCAAACATCTGTGTGTCCACTCAAGAAACATTTTTCGCATTAGAATTAAACAATAAGCACTTTACGGCATTCGACTGAAAGTAAGTTAACGGAAAACGTAGCGCAGAATGTACAATAAGAATGCCTTTATTGATGCTGCCTGTACATCGCCGCCCGATAAAATATCATCTAGTAATAAATGGCGAAGATCAAATAATTGATAAGCGACCATTTGTTTTTACAACGTATCCATATGGTAATATGAAATCATTATTGTTATAATGGTAAAGGTCTACCTTTGGCTAGTGACGAGTTATCACAGGAGGCCGGCCAATTCATTATCGTGTTTTTTGTTACGTGACACGTGACAGAATAAAACGCTGCTGGAACAAAACCATACGTACGCATCCTGTATGTGTTTGATGAAAATTGTCATGTATTTCAAGCTGCTGTTCACAAAAATGGCGCCACTTGATAATAAGGCGTTTGTCTAATAGGTTGAATGTTGAACTGCCAAATTGGCTTCACTACGATGCGTACTAGAATATCCAGTAGCTTTCAAATCATTATTCGTTGTATTGGTGTATAAATATTATAAATATATAATACAGATTTATGGTTCAAACAAAATCAGATCGACACAAAATTGGCGATCAATAGATAAATGCGTACGGCCGTCCAGTGGGGGCCGCGATATCAGTCAACATCGGGATCGGTCCTGCACGGACTATCTTTCTATATTTGAGCCGGGTTCCGAAGATGGTTTTTCAGAGGTTCCATAACGTAGCAAATAAGCATTTAGTACTTGCTGATACGGGAAAACAAGGCACAACGGATGGCACTCTTCCTGAAATTGATAATGAGGGATGTTCAACCGTCTAGGGAAATAAGCAAATCTGTTTCAATCCAAGAAGATATTACAATATCTCCTTGTTGTTTGGCACTCACTCATTGGTATGTGCGCGATATTCCTCTGTAATTGTGTGTATTCGGTTAATATTAGCTTATATACGTTGAAGTACAAGGTGCGATGAAGTATAAAGTGATAAAACTCAGTTGTATTTCGGTCAGCATCGAGTCGTTCTCAAGTTTACATAGGAAAATCCTATTTGTTTGAAGTTTAATGCTTTGCAGAATTATATCCGGCAGTTTAATAATGCATTTACTCATCTAGCAGCAGATACGACTATACGATAGGTACTTAGTTCTACTGAAAGTTGAAGCTAGCATTCATAGGAAAAAAGAAAGGTTGTTGAAAAGAATCTGTTTAGATACCTGAAGACAATCCCGATTTGATGCCATCTTTGCGACATTCGTATACGAGCGGCAATGGAACAAGAGATGATTTGCTTGTACAAGGGTAACGGTGTGTATGCTGTTCTTCTTTCAAGTGACCTACTGCGTCCGAATTGGAGGTGAAGCATTGACCACACTCATTGCAGAAGATCCATCTGGAAACTCCATTTACGCCATGCTTCGCCAGATGATCGGCGAAAAGATTCGGCTCAAAGTATTCATGGCACCTAAATCCCATTCAAGTCAGAAGCACAAGCCGACGTCTTAGTAGATATAAACGAAACCCGAATAAAAGCAGTTAAGTAATTAGATAAATTACAAATAGATTTCAGATTAAATTGAACTTTGGCCAATTACTCAGCCTATAGGCAGAATCTAGATTCAATATATTGTTGGTCTGAAAAGTATCGAACCTCGAATATTGGACCACCGTGCATCGACAAGGTAATTGAGCTAAAAGTTTTCAATTGTCTGACGCGTGTTCATTAACTAGATGTACCCAATTAACACTGTAGATTTTTCTATACACGCGTTTATGCGTCATGCTCCGACAAAACAGGCCCATACATAGATGTCTTCATACCAATGAAAAGGTTACGACATCCGTAAAAGCAAACTTGAAGAAGGGAAGGGTCACTGGTACGGAAAGCTTCAGCCTTTAATTATGTGTATTTAGGCTGTTACATGTTGTATTTAACTAGCAATAGATACAGATGCTGATTCTATATCACCACAACGACTTTGTAGAAAGTGGATGGAAAAAAATATTTGATTGTTGTTAGGCTTTATGTTATCGATGCGAGAACTGATTAGCTCGCGGATAAAAAAAGAAAATAAAACTACACAAACGATATAATGACATTAATAGTAATACTAAAAATTATTACTGTGAGATAATACCAACCGAATGCAGACGTATTGGCCATGATGGCCATATATTGAGTGGCTTGCAATGGCATGAAACGTATAGAACTGGCTATTGCAACAGCGGGTAATGACAAAGGTATCCGCGTGTTCGATTCGACAGTGCTGATATATGACCAGATCCGAGTTGAACTTCCGACTAGAGCGAAAGACAATGGACATCACACAGAATAGGTAAGTTAGTCGCGTACAGGTCTCCCTCTTGAACTTCATCTCTAGAGGTAGCTGCTTTGAAGCGAAAACAAGAAACTTACAAATTTCCTACTGATGAAATCGAGTTCTTTTTTTGTGGCTCGCTTTGCGAAATATATTTATACAGAAAAAAATGGGGCGAAAAAACTGCAGTGTTTATTATCTGAAAGATAGAGATAAAGACAAAATAAGAAAGGAAGTAATGCAAGTTAATAGGCATAAGGTATTGAAGGATATAGTGTTAGGTAATGTCAAGTCCAACCAGTAGACTTCAAATCGTCTTTTAGGTAGCAAATTACAGCGTTAAATAGGGAAAAACTTCCTGTCCGGTAAACAAATTAACAGCCACCACTTGGACAGAAAAATATGAAAAAACCGATGATATAGACAATATTTCAACATATAGAAATAATAAAATCGACGCTTTCGGAAGCCAACCTATTTTCTCATAACAGAAGTTTGCGCAAAGACCATCGGTGTCAACGATTTATTTAATCTATCACTAAGTTTCTATTTAATCCATCGGGAAGAACTGTTTCGATAACTCAAGAGTGTTCATTTTATTTTACATCTGTTACGGTGGCTGAAAAGTAAACTCTAGATAAAGTGAGGGTTTTTTTTCGTTTTTCTTACAAAAGACTTTTGCGCCTATAGATATGTTCCTTGCTATACCCTACGCCCGTTGTGCATGCGTGTGATGACGCTTCTCAGCATCGAGTCAAGTTACTGCAAAAGGCTAAAAGACGCGGTGTAATACCGACCCACAGTCGCTGCACTTGATCTCTTTTTTTGCACGGGAGAAACGAACCGTGTCTTGAGTCGGTGTATTAGGTAGATTCTCGAGGTTCGAGTCACCTTTGTCGGTAACTTTCATGAAATGTATCGGAAATAAGGAGACTCGACTAATTCGTCCTGGCTTTTTACTTTTGCTACGCAGTTGATCGGACATTGAATTGGGTATGGAATTGACAACACGCGTATGGTCGACACTGTTCCTGTGCAGAATCTTTCTCCACCAGCCCTGAAAGGCGACAACAACAAAGGCTAGAATAGCTCAGTTCATAGAAATACTGCACCAGGAAACACTGAGCTTATTTTGGGCAGTCCATGTACCGTGACTAACTCAACCAACATGTCATCGTACGTACTGTCTTAAAAAAAAGTTACGTGATAAACGTTTTTGCTACTGAACATTGTATTTAGTATATTTTTATTTTTGCCTTAATTCGAGCGGAGCGATCTAAATTATTTTATTTACTTGAGATACTGAGAGCATCGTTTCTATATCCTGCTTGATTTCTGGTCGACTCCCATGTTGATATAGCGAGCCCGCATATATTCGCAGTAGCATGTATATGGGCCTAGCTATTGTTCGTTTTACAATGGAAAAATGTTTAATAACATCTAAGCTAAGTCATGTAGTTCATCAATATTTGCTACACGGCTTAATTCCACTTTTACTACAAACTGTCTTGTCAGGCACTTAAATTAAAAGCCAGATCATTGGTTACATTTCATTGTTGTATCTGGCCTGTGGGACAACCAGTGAGCGATTCGGCCTCTCATTAAATTAGGACATTTCTAATAGAAAACCTAAGTTGCTCGCTCACCTTCGAAAACAATCTGGATGACACGGCTGTGGGTGTAACCACCTGGTCAGGTATGGGCAGCACCATCTTCGTCAATTTTTGCTCGAACACTGTCTATCTATTTAATAACAGACACACTATCGATATGCAAGTTCAAATATGCGAGAGACAAACGAACTTTTTCGGTATGTCGGTTGTTAAACCAACTTTGTTTAATGGAGGCTGATGCCAAGATTTTCAAATTTAGCCTTTTCTTATTCAGGCAATGCACGAAAAAGCACAGCGGAGCGGACGCTTTGTGGTACTACTTCCTCATTTGCCGATAACAGTCTTCTTCTTGAGTGTGAATAAGCTGGTGTGGTCACGATATGTATGAAACATGACGTGTGAGACTGACGAATATTGCACGTTTTCTTGTAAGGACATAACCTATACTCTTTTATCAACGTAATGTAAGAAACGTAGCCGTCAAAGACAATTGCCGTACAAAAATCAACGAAACTATCCATTATAGTTTACGGTCACTTTTTCAAAATGTTTTTATAAGCGACCCATTAATGAGTCACTTAGTTAAGTTAGCGACAAGTAAACCTTATTCGTCAATACCAACTGTTAGTCAAAAACAGACCAGACGAAGCAATAAAACAGAAGCATGAGTACTATAAAATAGAGCTGATTTGAAAAACTGAACCCCGTTGCGAAAGTTAAGACATAATAATCAAAGTTCATACATATACCTTAACTTGCATTTTTTGTTCCTAGAACAGATTTTCTAATGGGCTTCAATGGTGATAAAATCTAACTTTGTTTCTCTGTTTATTCTTTATCGGGCGTATTTCATTTGACAAAAGTACCAAAAAAAAGTCTACTTTTAAAACTAATAAACCGCTCGATATATGTGACTTTAGATCATCATTAGCTTCAGTGCGCTTCCTTCAAAACTTCCTAAGCATTTAGATTGGACCTTATACGTTTTGTGGCCCAAAAAAAGGTTTATTATAATCGATAAGAGAACGCATAAAATGCAGGTAGATAGATTTTATTTGAAAATCCCGCCAATGCCGGAACCACGAAAAGCTGCCACAGGTATTAGGGGCCCGACACATATACATATAGTCGTGGGTGAATTTATGCGAAAGCAAGCATGTACGCAAGTAATAGCAAATGGATTTAAGAGATCCCTTTTGGTTTTGCTTTTGTAGCAAATGCGGTGATTTTCAAGAGCAGAAAGGTCATTTAGGCTCATGTGGGCATATCATTTGTACCGGATGCTTCATTCCTGGTAAGTACCATCAACCTTCTTATCCATAAGCTTGCTTACTGCTTGTAAGATGTACCGTTGTTTTCTAGAGGAATATAGATTTCGGTTGAAATTATCTGAGCACGAGCCTGAAAACGGATTTTTAACACTTAAGTGTTCGCTTTGAATTGATTTGTTTGCTTGTTTATTTTCAACTCTTGATGTTAACGCTTGTTCTTGGAGAATAATTTCACTAATAGCAATAATAAATTGTCATATAAGCAATTCGTTCAGAAGCGGTCAAGCAAGGGATGTTTTTTCGCATATGATAAAAGAATCAGACGGAGGCTTGGTTATAAACTGATGGAAAATACAATGAAGGCACGATTATGCTGCTTCCAAATTGGCCTTTCTGTTAGAACGCACCGATAACTGATCTGCACTCAAGCTCGAGGGGAGAATTCGGCGTAAGTGTATCAAAAGAAATGCTTGCTGATTCCGCTAACCTGGGCGTTCTAAGCATGGCAAGAACATGATATGTGAAAAATTGTGTACATATGAAACTCGATTCGATACAAACAACAACTATTAGTTGAGAGTCGTAACTCTGCGTTTGGAAAACGCCGAAATAGGTAGCGATTTTTAAAGCACAGCATTACTAATGTGCGGTTATGAATAGTTTCAGGTGATAACAATGGCATCACAAAATGTCCAATATGTAATAGTTCCGCTAACTTCTTGCCTGTCTCTGACCGGAAGGTATTTCGATTCTTCAAAGAGGTTAAAAAAAGTCTAAGCGAATGGACTGCGGTAAGAAAACTTCAAAGTCATTGTAAAATCAGATACTAATTCATAAATCAATCGTGGCCTTGACGCGCACCAATAAAAGGCATGTTGAAGTCGTGTTATTTTCTTTTCGGTGCGATTTGTTGCTATATTCTTTAAAAATCAGCACGAACATGCGTTTAGTTGCACGTTCGTAGCAATAAATAATCTCCATATCATCAAGTGTCTGATTTAGTTCCGGGCTTCAACTTTACGTAGCTATGCTTGGTAAGTTGATGATTTCAATTAAGGATCTGTGATTGTGTGACGAATAGCGTGAGCTTACTCATATTGCTTGGTAGATTTATGTGAACAATCGCCGGAAGCTAGCTAGATTGTCCGTCCGTATGAGTAGAAATTCATGGTCTGGTATACAAGGTCTTATGTGCAAAGAATTGTCAAAAAATACGAACATGCTAGTTAGTTCTGATCAACTTTCATGTTGTTTTTTCTAAGCAACTTAGTTGGAAAAATATCAACACCAAGTTGATTTTTATTACCACCGTATGCAAGGAGAGAAATTACGGAGATTGTATAGAAAGATCGAAAGCAAATCACTGCAGCTCGAGACGCTCAAGAATACCTTTAACAATGTGGTGGCCACAATGGCTAAACGGTGAGCACCGAAAAGCCATGTCAATTTTTAGTACAATAGTCTAGAGAGGTCGAGCTTAGGAAGATAAACTGTACTGCACTAGATTCTATGAAAGTATTGTCCAAGAATCAAACAAGTAGCTGTTAGAGAAATATCGAGATCGCAAATAAGGTTAAAAGAATAATTTTTTTTTGTAAGTATTTTGCGCAGTATATATTTATTGTACAAGTAATAAGCACCCGGGTAATAATGATGTCGATAATGAATTAAAACGATGTTGCATTGTTGATACGCCCACGTGTTAAATTTGTAACCACACACACACACACACACATATATATATATATATATGTCAGCACTTGCTTGTCTATCAGATTCTACTATAAGCAAACCCGATAAGTACCAGTAATTTTCACTTGTTACCTGAATATATTGGTCATTCTCAAGACATTATACGCTGACAGTGGCAATGAGCACCGAGCTCTAACCTAAAAAGTCGTAGTTCAGCAATAACGAGTATGAAACTATTTGAATTATTAAGTACGCCTATTAAGCTCATCCGTGGAATACCAGATCGGAGTCTGGCGACCCCATATCGTACAATAGTGGCGCACGAGAATGAATCGAGGATCTGTCATCCAATTACAATATCTCAGGGGGATAACGACGACAGTCTTAACGTAATTGACAATCAATTGCCCACGACTATCTCCAAAAGACGGCTAACACAACAATTTTCTCCTTTTGAAAGTGACCGACACGATGTGGAAGCCTATGGCAAGAGAACTCCGAAACAGCACTCTGGGGCTCGGGAAAAACCCCGAATTCACCAACAAAGTACGACACAAGGCATTGGACATAGGGAACAAATTCAGTTGCGGAATACATTTGAGTACGATTCTCTCAAAAAAACACTAGGCTCAGATAACGTCCGTACAAATACGACCGGTAACGGTACTGAACGTAACCGATCTCGGAAGTACGTTGATACGCCACGCCCTCGTTTACTCAATTTTCGATATGACTCAGGCTCTATGTTTACACAGAGCTCTCGAGCAGCGGTTTCAGTAGCTGACACTGCAGCTAAGCGGCGCAATCAGGCCGATAATCTGATTAGTTCCAGTAATCAAGCAGTTGATAACGGCCAGCCTGAGCGTATACTAATGGGCCCCCAATATGCGCGCGCAAATGTTACTGGCAAGAAATTTCATCAACACAAGACTGGAATACGCACCCCGAAGACGTAAGTAACTCGGCTACCTATAAAATAATATACACAACGTAGTCGTACTCTTCGGTCGAAAACGTGATTTTGCTGTAGCTATGGCAAAGAAGCTGGCAGTAACCTTAAGATTTTGCTTGGTTTATAAGGAGTTGTTAGTGCTCAGTTTTATTTCTAAAACTCTGAATTCCCTCTACGCGAATGTGGTACATTTTTAACCGATCTTATTTACAACACGCTGTAACAAAGTGCTACATGACATGTTTTTTTTTCGTTTCACTCGATCTGCTAAAATCTGTATGGATCTTATCTTTTCAATGATGCATATACAAGGAGAAAAGATGTAATCTTCAAAAGGAATTTAGGAAGGGACAACCAGGGGAAAGGCGACCTGAACAGAGGTGGCGGTCATAAAAAACAAAACAGGAAGTTTATGTTAACGTCCCGCTTCCAAACAGAATCAGATCTAACCATAGTGACCTACAATCATTATCTTCTTCAAAGTCAATACCGAATTCTCTTGAAGTACACACAATTGTCGATACTGGTAATGAAGCGCACCAAGCCGTAAAGGTGGCCGTTAGTGTGAGTAAAAAAAAATACGCAAGGGATGTCGACTCCCAAACGCACCAACGAGGCAAGTTGAGTACTTTCAAGGATTACAATGCATCCACTGGATTTTCTTTGTGCTGTGACTTTTGCCTAATGCGAGTAAGCTTCAATCAAAAGTAGCGCAAATTAATACGTCAGTGATCAGTTGTAATTTCGATAAAGTACAATACATCTGTGTGTTAACGCAAATAGTTTTTCTTAGCTCTTTTTGCAGGGGCAAGCAAAAAATGTTAACTTCGCAATGATAACAAAACAGAATTCACGATATTTGCATTCTAATACAGTATTTTTGAATAACTTAAGGCTGATGTTTGATATGACTATTTATGATTAGCTCTATGACAAAGTAAGTTAACGATGCTAGTAAACCCGTATTAAACGGATTCCAAGAAAATTCATCGAAATTGTTTGTCTTCTAGTGGTCTCATCCACTAACGTATTGGAATAGGTTAACTACGAAGTTGTCAGGCCTCCTAGCGACTATGCAAGAGCACTGATGTTTTTTTTCAGATTTATGCTAGAAAAACGTATTTTAATGTACACAAAATAAATTTGATAGCAATAATATGTTTCCATGAAACCATTCAAACCAGTCAACCAAGAAATGAGATATTAGTCGGAATAGTGTTTTGCATGCGTTTTATTTTGGTTACCAGGAAAAGGTACGACAAATCGCAGGAGAAACTTGTTTCGTTAGGAGCCAGGAGCGGCAAAATAGACCCTAATAGAACCGATCTTATTCTCATGGGCACCCCAGCACGCTGTAGCTATCCTCCGCAGTTCGAAGGGACGTCTAGTAACCGAAAATTACAGAGTGTTTGCAAGTATGCGTCTCGTGCAGAGGCAGGGTACATTTTCCAGGATCAAAGGCTTGTTTTACCTTACGAAAAAGAAACAGACCATTATAAGCGGTCCACTTCTTTGAGTAATAACTACACTTCTAGTGATACACGACGACAATTCCCTTGTCAGGGTGAACAAATGTTTCAAGCAGCAGACCACCCTGATCGATCGGCCTCAGTGACGTCTATTTGTAGTAGAATACAACGAAATTTTCATGGAGCTCAACGCAGTAACTACGGAAACCAGTTTGTTTCTATTGAGGGTCAACGACGGCATAACTTTTCTCATTATACCAAAGGCCTGACATCATTGTGTTCCAGGATCAGCCCATATCCTAATGTCTATGCTCCGAAAACGTCACTAACACCTAACAAAAAGAGCCTCGCTAATAATGCGTTTTTAAAACCGCAAACGCCTTCGTATACAATGTCGGGAGAGACTAATAACACGCCCTGGCCAATGACCTACTCTAAAAAACCAGCTTTCAGTTTGACCGGAGCCACTAGGAAACACAAGGTGTCAGAGAGTCGAGCACGAGACAGGCAAGAGCTAAATATAAAAAGTGACACATCAAGGCAAGATCCCTTCAAAACAATACTTAGATCAAAGTACTTCAGTACAAGTTAGGGGAACAAACGGCTGTCCAAGAAAGCCAAAGATTATCCATAAGCTATTTAAACTGAACTCCACGATATCGCAGATCAAGTCCAGCCAACTGGTTCGATTGATCAAAAAAATAAATTATAACTAGTATATTTCTTTCTACGTTTTTCCTTTGATAAAATGTTTCTTTATTTTCAGGAAGTTTAATTGGCAGATAAATCTGATATAGTTTGCGTTCATTTATTTATAAATCTACCTTTGTTTTGTTTATTTAGGCATGATGAAAAATGTTAACAACAAATATTGACAATGTGCCCCAAGAAATAGGAACCATGCAGTGATAATTATAAAAATATCGCAATTTTCAAAAATTTCTCTCGCTTTTGCTTTAGGCAGGTTTTTCTTACAAACTACGTTTAGTATTGTTCATTCGATATTCCGATATCTTTTTTTTTATTGTTTCATACCAAACTCAAAGCCCTAGTACCACACGAGGTTTTTATCTGGGGACTTTAATTATTTTGAGCAAATAATGTATGATTTGGACAGAAAAATCTAAAATCTGAAGTACGCAAATTTCGTTTTTTTTTTCAATATATTAAGATGAACGAACTAATTACAAATAGTAATTAAGATGTACCGAAGTAAATAAGTTACAATACATCTCAGAGTGTATATTTAAACACATGTCAACATTAATCACCATTAGATTTACATACCTAGATAAGCATAGGTTACGTGTTTACAGAGCTAATAGAAGAAATAGCAAAGAAGAATATTTTTAAAGAATCTGAAGAATGTTATTTCGTCTCAAGCTGAGTCACTGCCAATTTTATCAGGTATTGACTTTACTGAATTTTCTGTGACTGCTTGTTTATGCTATGAAACTAACCTTGAGCGTCACACAATCATAAATAAAATAATATGTTTCTAAATGATTTAGTTTCAAAAGTAGTGTGTGGTAAATGTTATTATCAACTTAGCTACAAGAAATAGATCATCGATCTCTTATACTATTCAGCAAGCTCCGTTGTGTATCTCATATACAGTAGGTTTAGACATTTCACTGTTTATGGTGAGCACTGCGTAAGACTTGATAGAAAGTATGTCCGAGTTAAGTAGAGTTATCGTATGAACCTGGATGCATAACACAAGGGTAAAATTGATGCCCCTTGTATACTTTCCCCCTGTCACTCCCTCGGGGATTTCTCCGATATATCTTGCCCGATTATGCTGTTACAAAACAAATTACAAATGTAGAAGAAAAATCAGTCTAATATAATGTAGGAAGTTCGCCAAATGTGTCGTAAATTGCAACCCTGATATTTGAATTTCGCGGGATCAGAGTGGAAAGGGCAGATGATTTTCTCCTTACAGGCAAGCTGCTGAAAGGATATGTTCTGCGTCTAGTTTACGTCTGCACCATTTGTGCTTCCTTTTAGGTGCCGATCGTTGTGCAGGAGAGGCCGTATCGCGTAGTTGATTGTACGACTAACCGGCTCTGTTGCGACCATTTGCATCATCACAGTGTTATAGAATCGTGGTAAGTTGCAATGTTAAACATCGTTAATGTTCGCCATTGATGCGTGCTTATGCAGGGATGGTTTCTCGACTTTTGTTCGAGGTTTGGGATCCCAGTTTACACAAGCTGCTGCCATTAACTGCTTATTCTACTAAATACCGGTGGATATCGTTGGTGCACCACGTGCAGCTATCGAGCTAGGTACCGTAACCAATCTGGCTCAGTTATGGAGTCAGAAAATGGTAGAAGCTGCACGATTTGTCAAAAACACTTCATTTAATTACAGACGTAGTAAAACAGGGATATGCTGTGCTCTACACAGATTCTATGTACCGCGGCAACACCAGATTCAGAACTCCCACTGATTTCTGACTTAACAAAATGGCTCGAGCCATAATGACTAGTACTAGCCAGTGCCAAGTGCCAGGGCTGCTTTGGCATTTATTTGACTGTGATGTCCTGTTTGTGCTTTCACCCTGGTGAGATTCGACATCACGGCGGTCTCAAAACACCCAAAATTTGAGGATAATTCGATTTGCTGATACTGAATGGTTACAATGGAATTGATATCTATATCTGGTATTTGTTGGGCGACTTGGATTCGCTGAGACTCGTTTTCTAACATCGACTATGAATGATATGTTGTTGGCTTCTCCTGTTTTATAATGCTTACATGATTCATAATCCGTACGGTATTTAGACTTGTGCGCACCTGTGGACCCACTGGTGGACAAGAAATGACGGCGAGTACTGTCTTCACGCCGGCGTACCTGCCTCGTTTCCCTGATGGCTCTGTACCAGAAAGCACCAACCGGTGCAGAAGCTTATGGAATCAATGGCAATGTGCCCGTAATTTGAACTGGGGCAACACCTGGAAACGGTGTCGTTCGGCTGGTGGCTACACGCGGCCTTGGAGAACTTGGATAACGCGAAAATCGTGCCAGCTGCCCATATAGTTGGTAAGTTACCATAAATGAACCAACGTTGACTCTCGTTGCAGTTCGCATTACGTAATGCCCACAGCATATATAAAGATGTCACAGCTGATTAGCTTTAAGCGAGCAGAGTATTGATCATTGTCAACCTTAATTTTGCCATGCGCAAGTTGTTTTTGTTCCGAAGTTCATCTTCTAGTATGCGTTACCTATATTTATCTATTCCTTTAGCTTAGGAGATGTGTGAATTATGTAAGCTCGCCCTGATGAGATCTACTTCACGACGGTCTTCAGACACCCAACAAGTACTGGATGACAAACGAAGTAGCTGAGTTGTACCTTGGTAGTTAGGTACTGGTTTGCAATTAACAGGCCTACATTTGTTACCAACATAGGCAAATATTTACAGTTAGTTTTGCTTTTGGTGTTTTATTGGTCTGGTTTTCTGATAGCCAATTAATATCCTCGCTGCGTTGTCAAAGCCGCCATATCAGTGTTCTACATGCAGGTAAGTTTTCACTGAAACAGTTGTAACATAAGAAAGAAAACAATTCTTTGAACTTGTTTCGTTCGATTATCATTTGCTGTGATGATCTACACAGACCTGTTCCGATATTACTGAGGACAGTTTAGGTAATTCTTCTGATTACAATGAATCATAAAATTAAAGTACACTTTCATCACGCGTGTTAACGATTTTTCAACTAATACTACTATTGCTTAATTACTCTAGGTGCATCAGCAAATCGTACTTTGGAGGCAGTACTCCTGACCTATCGATTGGACATACACCTCCTAACAAATGCGTAACAGGGGTTGAACGTGACATGTGATCTGATCAAAGATATTAGTCTTTGAAAGCAAGCACGAACGAGATCACTGCATTACCCCACCAAGAAAAAACGGTTCAATACAGGTAATCTATGCTCATTGCTCCGTGTAACTGTTCGTATTTCTTCAGATGTTAAGCCCTTCCAGGATATTCGTACATGGTCGGGTTCAAGCCCTGAAGTAAAGAAATGTTGCTCCACGTCAGGGACGATACCCCTATGATCGGTATTGTCTCCAGGTTTGCGAGCCATAATGTTTAGTTCTTGCTATTGCTTTTTTTATCGATATTCAATATATGCATTTTACAATGCCTTGGGTTACGCGCCATAATACTTTCCAACTAAGTGTATACACAACCCGTCCAAGTAACACAATGAGTCAAAAAGCCGGCCATGTGTTTCGATCTTTGAAGCACGTGGTGGCAGCGGGCGGTAATAATGATCCCGAGATATCACTGAACGCTCTAGAATAGATAGAGCTGAACGTGGTATAACGGAACATTTCATTGTACCGCATAAATATACTCAAATATAATATGGATGTTTATATACTAACGACAAAAATGATTTTGATTTACAGGTACTCTACCGTTGACTCAATGGACCAGGCACGTTGCTCTAGCAGATATTAAACTGTTGCAAGCAAATCCGGCAACGGACTTTTAATATTTATCTATGAATTAAATAAAATTTTCGAAATTAATTAAAATTCGAAAACCAATGTGCAGTGATCAAGACGTTGGATTGATTTGTAATAGCCTAATTAGTGGGTTATAGAGTAATAATATAGTCGAGTTAATTAATGGGTTGATTTTGTAACTAAACACTACAAGAGAGATTCAGCAGGCATATGTTGTTATCGATAACTGTAAGCTGATGAAGCCTCGTCAGGACATAATGAAGGCTGACATCTGTCGAAGATGGTGAAATAGGTGAAACGAGGTTACCACAAGAGCTTAAATGAAAGTCTCTGAATATGCGAACTTTTAAGCAGACATAGCATAGACATATACGAATGCATCATAGTACTACTTTTTAGGATTTTAACAGTAGTAATCTTTTCGACCCCTTGGATAGTCACCTAATGCGACACGTGTTACGGCTGACATCTACAGATCTTTGGAAATCCCGTGTTGTCTCAGTTTGTGTAGGTAAGCACCACAAGGTTGCCAATTTTATTTAATAGACATTGCCTGTTTCGTAATTAGTAAGCAGGTGGTCTATTGACACGAGACATTTGTAGTACGCGCATTTGATAGTTAACAGGATAACGAGTTTGCAATGCTTCACGCATTAGAAGTCAAGGGATTGGAGTAGCGCGAAATCAAGCAGTAATGCCAACAATGCGGTGTACGTGATAAGTACGCCATCAAAAGGACAGTGCGATTTGAAATGTGGATGTGTCGTGGCGTCTTCAATAAATGTACTCATTTATTTCTTATGCGATCATTGTCAATGGTAGTAGTAAATAAAGCCCATCTTGCGTATTCACGGTTATATTGATATTATATTGTTTCTTTAATTTAAATCTGTATGGAAACTTTTACTCTATTTTTCCAATTGGAGCCTTCAGTTGAAAATAATGCAGTAATGGCATTACCATATAAGCCTAGCCTAACGAATAAGTTCGTTAGGCTAGACTTGTAAAGTCAGTAAGTATCAGGCCTCTAGCTTAATAAGTTGTACCAAAATGTAAAACTTGTTTATCCGCTTCTAAGGAAGTGAAGTACCATAATTTGCATGGAAAATTAAGTAGGTATGATAAAAACGATCTTTTATGCAGTAAGGAAGTAAAAAAGTCCTCACTTATATTTTCCATTAAAAAATTCAATTCTGAAATGTAGGAGACTAACTAAATACTTCATACGCTTCAGCGTATCAATAATGAAACGAATGCATATAATGTATCAAAATTTTTTTACCCTCAATGGTTTAAAAGTTCTACAAATCTTTAAATTACATAAAATCATCCAAGTAACTCAATGTATTCAGTCAAGCCGATACTGTACCGGGTAAAGACTATAAACCAACACCTATTAGGTCTTCTTATATACGATAAGAAAACAGTTAATGAGCTTCAATGACCTAGCCTAACCTAATTCTAATGTTCTAATGAAATGAACGCGCAGTATCCCTCAAAATATTATCAGTGACATTTGTTCCATGCTATTAACATACTTTATCACAGATATGATCGAAGAAATAATTCGTATTTATTTACCATATTCGGTTTTGTGTAGGTCACTTACTTTTCTTTACCCGCTGAAGTCGCTGAATTTTGCGCCACAGTTGTTGCTATAGATTTGGTTATTCTACAAAAACTAAAGGCCTTTATTTAACATGCCTTTCTCGATTAGTTTTATTATTTTACAGATATTTTTATTTGTCATAGTGCGCTCTTTATTCAGTCAGTGCCAGTTCCATTACTATTCGTTATCCTACGGTGTTTTATTGCAATGGTTACGTTTGTGCACTGGTGAAGCGAACACAGAGTCAAAAAATGGGAAACGTCATTATTATCAGTTTCGCACATAATGTCAAAATCAATATGCTAAATAGGTTCGTACTTAACGTGGAATACATTGATGCTGCAGTACGAGTCCTGCCAAGCATAAAGCCCATGCGAAAGTTAAATCTTAATGTTGTTTATATTTATGCCGGTCAATAAGCGTTACATTTTATACGGGATGGCATAACGAATGCTTACAATGTATCATTATGTTGGAAGATGTCTTTTTCTGGTAGTATACATAACTATAGTGTTTTACCTCATATTTCTGGATAGTTTCCACTGTGAGATGGTGGACATATGCACGAAATTCCTTGGTATCGATGAAAATATTGAAGAGTGTAACTAGCTTTTGAGTGAGGAAATTTCTCGCTAAAAGGACTACTCGCCATAACCTTTGTGTAAAAAATTCTGTAGATCTTAGGATTCATGTAGTGATATTTGTAAATCAAATCACAATACTCTCGAATTTGACGTATTGCGGATTATGCATATCTGCTACTAAAACCTTATCGGTGTACTCACTAACGTTTTAATGTACGCTCGATAAACAAGAACAACGTAAAAAAGAACAAATCCTTGGGGATAGATCAGGGATAGATTTTATTCTCACGTTACGGTGAAGCATTTTATTACAAATAAGATGTATTTCAGAGCAGCTGGAGGTGACAGCAAATGGCAGGGCAAAGCACATCATAGAAGTTGACAGATTTCAGTTAAGTTTAACTTAAGTTAAAAGGAAATGCTAGCTTAAGGAAAAAAGATATCTGTATGCTGATGTGCATCAAATCTGGTCAATTCATCTTGTACTGTTGGAATGCACCGACATAGACGTTATATACGATCTTCGTACAAACAATACGTCAGAAAAAGTTAAATGTGTAATTTGTGAATGATGAAATTGAAATAAAAAAACACTTATCATTTTCAAGTAAACTTCGTTGGAACTTGACAGTAATTCGTGTGTTTTTTAAGTGATTACATAGGACTATGTAAATTAAAATTAACTAAGTGAATCACTTAACAGATATCTAAACATGGACTTCCGTAGTTCTTCATACAATCTCTAAAATGCTGCCATGGAGCCTGGCATCGATTGACTTATCTTTTTTTCAACGCATTTATCGACTATTGTCTAGATATATCTAAATTATTTAGGAATTTTCATTCTCTTGATGTCCGCAGTCTGGACAAGAGTAGAATATCGTCTGGCCTTCATCCGCGCTACGTGTCTGCAAGGTGGCATAGGTCATTCCCTCGCGACCACAGTTTGTGCAGATTCTGTCCACACTAGGGCCATCTCCAGCACTACTTAGTTCCTTCTGTGCAGCGCCTTTCAGAGCGGTCTCACGATCGTTAAAGATCTAAAATGATCACAAAACAACGGCACATGCATTTTTCATATGACTAGAAGGATACAACTGTTAGAAAGTAAGAAACCATATATATATATATATATATATATATATATATATATGGTTTCTTTTCGTTTCAAGGTACCCAAAACAAAAAAAAAGTATCTGTTGTACTACGATTTTTCTACGAAGCGAAAAATCAATACCTAACTGCCATTTAAATAACTAAATGCTATCCTCACCACAACAGATTTCGTCTCCATCCCGTGAAAGTTCTCAATTGGGACCGAGTTGCCGCACAAACGACACGTTACCACTGTTGTAGACAGAGCCAGCGGCAAGATGCTACCGCACAGAGAGCAAAACTCCAGCTCTCCGGAAAAAATTACATTCGTTTTACTATTTCGAACACTACCGTTGCCGTTCTCCATAATGACACCAGTCGCTTTTTGCCCGCCAATGGCTTTCAACCACCTGAAAATATTAGTTTAGTCTATATCTATAAATAATTCCATCGTGAAACAAAGGAATCGTGTATACGTACTTCTTTTAGTTCCCATGAGCGTAACCACTTCGAAGCTAATGTCTTCTTTTGCATTGATGAACTTCCCTTTCGTCTCCCTTCTGTTCAGTTTCGTTTACATGGCTTCGAAATAGGAAGGCAATTAAGTTTTTGCTGCTGCTGAAACCCAAAAACAACTACATAGAGACAAAGGCATGCGGAGCACGCCGATATAACTGACTGCTGAACGTTCTAAAGAATTGAACTTCCACATGCCACGTGGCTTCCGCTAAACAGATGCTCTTTGCCGTAGAATGGAAGTAGTACAGAGTCATCTGTCATCAGGAAACGATAACTGCTATAAATTATTGCCATGACAAAATGTTATGACTTTGTACTTGAAAGTCGAAGAACTTTCAAGTTAGAACCTAGTCAAACATTTCTGCTACGACCTGTGGGTCAAAAAAACAGCTATCGCATCTATCAGTGGGCTCATGTTGGGCCACGCCGTAGTCCCGCGCGATGCCCTTTACGTATTACTGATAAGCATAAAATGCGCGATTAAGATTATCAATAAGCTACACAAATCCAAAAAGTACACGCCGCAGGTTAAAGCTAAACGCCTACGAATCAAAGTTCGCCCGTGCGTGTTGAAACTAATGCAGAAATTTTCCATTCGGCCATGCGTAGCACTAAAGATATTCGTGATGAAATCCGAAACGCGACTTCATTAAAGTCAGCGCATGATACGAAAAAACAGGAGGAGTGTTAAAGTTACTTCACAACTGTATCCTGAAGGTGAAACAGGCCGTCGACGCAAATGAAAATCAAGTCTAGATTCATGCTTCTCCAAGGCAGTAAAACGTACTAGGTACGTTATCGCCAAGGAAAAACTAAGGCAAAACTAACTAAGACAGTTGCACTACCGACTTTGTGCCGTAAAATAGGCTCAACCAACCGGTCAGTAGCATTATGCTCACGTAGATGCTTTGGCGGTGTGTGTGTGTGAACAGACCCAAACAATTTTCACTGCGAATTATAAGTTATATATATATATATGTATATATATATATATATTTATATGACTAGGCAGCATAGTTTTTAATCACAGCTGTATACCTCTTGCTATAGAAGGTATAACGTGTTAGAAGCAATTTTTTTGTAAAAAATATATAATGAGAACTCAGAAAACTCACTGAATGACTGCAGTCACAGAGTACGCTTACGATCCAGCAGTGTACACGGCGAAAAATGGTGAGAACACAACTTTACAAGAAGCTGAAGTTCAGTTTATTTTTTGAGATCCCTGAAAGAATAGATTTTAATTAAGATCCTAATGATCTACAAAACATTGTAACCATGTAATTGGCCATATCCTCATTGAATATGTGCTCTAGGGTCTACCAGCGAAACAAGTATTCACTGAAGAAATCTGGTGTTTTTATAATCTAATTCTTGATTACTGCTGGTTTACTAGCATGTAATATATACATAGATATTTGACTGAGATACAGATAACAGTGCGCACATAAATATAAAGCAATAGCTTTTATTAAATCATAACACAACATTTATTTAAGTTAAAATCTATTAAAAGTTTATAAACTCGCAATTTATTGTAACGAAGTCAAATGAACTACTTTAAATCTGAAACCATAACACAACACTCGTATTATTAAGGTTCTATGCGCATAGTTTTTAGTACTAGACAAACGATTCCACGTGAAGCTTTGTCATTTCATTTTTTCCACATTTCATTTAAATATCTATCTATACTTAGTCATTATCTGTAAAATATGCTTTTTGCGCGATTTATCCACCATAGATCGAATCTTGAACACGTTACTACCAATATGTGACTGACCTCTTTCTATAAAGAACAGCAAATGTCGATAACTTGAAACCGCAATAACACATGCATTTATGCTATTATTTCTGCTGTGTCACATTCTGTTAAAATCATAAGCACGATGTGTTGAAAAGTAAATATATTCCAACTAAACGATGGCAACAGAGATTCTAGGAGTTGATCTTTTGGCAAAAACAAAATGAAAATGGATTTATCTGCATCTGGTATGTAGTTTTTATTCCATATCAATATCCTTTAATATCAGTGCACATATTGGTATGTAATAATCTTCACAAACACGCAAGCACTTCTGTTCGGACGGGAAAGACTCACAACATCAGCCAGTTTTCGCAGCGCTCCACGTTCTAACTGCTATCGTAAAGCAAAATAAACAGTGATAGCAGTGACCTCTATGGCGTTTGCTAGAACCTTCTTTGTGAGTCTGAATGCTAGCTACAAATCTAAATTAGAGCCTTTTAGCTAGATTTGCGTCAGGTTTTATACACAATATGTTTATGTAGGTGTAAATTATTAATTATAAAGAGGATTATAGGTTAGATGGAACTAAATAGCAGCAGTATACTCGGTACTAATTGGACAGTTTTTCAAGAGGGTCACAGTACTGTTGTTTACGCACGGTCGGATTCAGCGGTGCGCTGACAGTAAATTCAAATGTTCTGTTGTGATCATAATAAAAATATAGCAGCTTAAAAAACAAAAACTAAAACATCTATTTGAACAAACATATTTCCTTGAACTATATGTGGTAGTAACGATGGAAAATAGCTCACGTAGCTACAAATATTTCCCTCATCATAGAAGTATGGAAATCGCCTACAGCGTAGCGATATTGATACTGTTTCGATAATGTAATTAAATTATCGATTTTTTACTTCAAGCAACACAATTTTATTGCCATTGATACCAAAGTATGGCTTAGTAGAGTTATAAAAAAAAGATCGTTTATCAAATTTAAGAGCGACTGTAATTTCAAAATTATTATGTACATTTTGCGTGAAAGGAAGCGATCGTTTCAATCATTAAGATAGACACATTATAGATATATTGATATTTCCTTTAGGTCCCTCAAAATTACTTAGTCTATATTTTTCTTAGAAACCAAGGACACTTAGTTGAGTCTCTACGAAGATGATAGCAAAACATTGTGATCGGTCAATTAAGATTGGAGTGGCTGATATCTGACCATGACTTAAACAAAGAAGATACATTTCATTTCTATATTTGTATTTGGATCTTTGTGACGGAGCTTTACCTGGCGCTTGAATGTTAATAATATTTCATGCACTTATGCTTAAGCTGTATGGTAATATATAATTTATCCGGCTGAGCGCTTTAAGATAAATACAAATTCATAAAATCGTTTAAGCGAGCAGAATTGTCAACCACAATTAACACATGGACTTGAAAGTCGTCAATAAACAGTTAGTCGAGCATTTCATTTGCAAAGCAGTGAGTAATAGCATCACATGTAATGCATATCTAACTCAAGGTTCAAAAATTAGATTTTTAAAGCTGGCTCGTTTGCTCATAACCGTTCTATTTTGCGTTATGTGTGGCTATACTCTCACTCTGTTCGGATATCTAGAGCCTATCTATTGCTTTTCACGTTTTTTTTCTCTTTATCTAAAAAGAAGCGGTTGAATTTTCACTAGCTAGACACGCATTTTATCTAAAATCTTTATACACCTTGTATGTTTTTTCCTCGACAATCTTGTCTAATTAATTTTGTCTCGACAATTTTGGTATGCTAGCTAGTATACTAGCATGCTAACATTATGTAAACATCAACTGAAGGTCATAAACATGACTTTAGCGACATGTGTCAACAGGATAACATCGAGAAGTGGCAGACGGAAATTGACTAGTCGTCGTTTGCTGCTTCATTATCAAAGCAGGGAAATATCGATTCCAGGACGAAGTGCTGTCCGTTACAACTTGGCAGTTTCTGTGATATAGAAAATTATAAGGAGAGATTTAGCTTTTGCATTGATAGCACATTGGGTGGAAAAGTAGATTACGCAGGCGCGGATCTAATGCAATGTTCGTATTTTGAGTCAAGTATAAAATTGTAGTCCATTAAAAGAAAATGAAGGGAAAAGTTCTATATACAACAGTCTACATGAATTTAGTTTACGGTTCTGTAATAAACAAAAAACGAAACCGGATCTTGCAAGTCGGGACCGAGAAGCAAAAATACAAAGGTCTAGCTAGACCCCTTAGCAAGATCGATTTCTGCCTATTTTTTGTTGTATTCTGTTCAGCGCAATTTCGGTGTTTAATGATCGACTTTGAATCGGCAGAACTTTTGGTAAAGCAAGAAACTGCAATCGAGGCCGTCTGATGTATAATGTGTTATCTGATTGGCAAGTAGGTAGACCTATGCTGTTCTCTATGCAAGCTGGCCAAATTCGATGCCACCGAAAGGAAAAACGACGGGTGGTTGCGACAGAAAACATGGATCAAAGATGCCACGACAGCTTTTGATAATACTGGTATCGCGGTCGATATCCGTATTACGATTGGAACTGTCGCCGTCATCGATTAGCACAGAAGTCATAAACACAACCGAGATATTGCTAAAGAATAAACCAGCAGGCAGAAAACGGTGTGGAAGCCCTAGTGGAAATCGTGGCTAGAGCGAATTAATTCCAGTTAGAATTTGTAATAGAATATTGTCGGCGCATACCGTCTTAGCGCTCTAATCTCATAGCTGCAGGAAATCATACTTCGGGTGAGTAAACACAAAGCATCAGCCGCGTACAAGAATGTTTTCTTTCGTTTCCGAAAGAAAGTGTCTTGTGCAGACATTTCGGCGTTTGTATGTTAAAGTGATGCGACTATCCTTGTTATTATTCTTACACCAGTACAAAGCAGGTGTTCTCTGAGGTCTGTCACGAAATGGCACATGTCTTTTCAGCCTAACTGAATGGAAACATCTAAACATTGTGAAAGTATGCTAAAGAATACGTTTCTAGTTGGCATGCCTGTCAGTCAATGCGGCTGTTCCAAAAGCGAACATAACTAAACCGCAATTCTGAGAATTGGGCTTTTTTGTCGAGGGGCTTGTTTCTAGTTTTTTTCCCAACTTTGGATTCGAGAATAATTCTAGTTTTTCAATATCAGCGAAAAGCTGTACAAGCAGCATTTTAGGTACTGGCAGCTAGCAATCGTCCTGTACTAGACAGAGGTTCCCATCTTTAACGAGGCATTGTTGAAAGGATAAAAAAACAACGTTCTCTAGCTGGCAGTACATAAAAATAAACGTTAACGAACCTTTATTGGAAAAATGGTGCAATCAGTAAAGGATACCGTTCGTCCTAGAAAGCGTAATAAATAAGGCGCGTACAAAAATAGTTGAGGTTTTAGAAAACTGAGAAAATATGCAGAAGTAAGCAAAGGATACGGAGCAGATAGCTTGGCAAGGTCTAATTTGAAGTGACTCAACTTAGCATCCGCATGACACAAAATTATTTATTTCAAAATTTACTCCATATGTACAAAAAGGTATATTGTCGTCCGCGTATGTAATGTATTCATTGGTACAATGAAATCGACAAAGTGAGGTGTCGAGAATACATCATTTCGTATGACACAGATCAACTAAACTATAATCAAATGATATATGGGATCATTATTACTAGATGCTAATTCATGAGCGCTATTACTGGTACACTACTGAATGCTATAGGTAACTGATGGGCGACTGTCGATTAAATAATAATTCGTGCTGATTAGTCGGCGTCAAGTGTAGAGACAGTCCTCTCTCGGGCATCGGTAAGGAACTGCCAATACATAACTTCATTTGTTTCACAATAATGAAAAGCCAACCCATGTCCTTTCAAGATTATATTCATACGTCGAACATTTTTACTCCTCTTAAACCGCATAGGGCAAATACAACCTTTTTTTTTGCTTTAGCAGCAGTCGTAACTGCGAAAGGATGTTTGCAGACTTTAAAAACAGCACTTAGATTGAAGGTAACATAGCTGATTGATCATCACCTAATTTGAGAAATATAATCACGCACAAATATTGTACGCACACATTTGTAAACAAGAATGTTCATAAGCACTTGACTACCAGGTTGAATAACCTCATATGCAGCATCAACAGGGCCCCTTTAAAAAACATGTTTCTAAGTTAATGAACCTTTAATTTTTTTATTTTGACGACTGTTGCCCTAAGTATCGGTATCGTCTTGTCGTAGTGTGCATGACGTAAATGCCCCGTGTATTTGGTTCGAAAACACGCACATGCTAGCCAATAGATTGGCGTCGGTCGGGTTTAGCTGGTATGACCGTGTGCTTTGTTATGAAAACTGCCTATTTTGATGTGTACTTGTAAATCTCAAAAGAATTAAACAGTCATTTAAATTAGCAGCCAGATCTACTAAAAATATTCGGATTCTACTTTTATCAGCAACGTTTTGGTTGAGATGAGTTTTGACGTAAGCCTCAATAAAGGATTTTGTAACAATAAGGAAATATATTGGCAAAAAGCTTTTATAGATATCTAAGCCAGTAATATTCGTTACGCAATAGTGAATATCACTCTAACTAAAATGAACGAAGAGATCGTAAAAATATGGAAACACAGTCGTCCCTAATAGGCATAGATTTCCAAGCGACTGAGTCATTTTGTTTATCCTAGGCTATACGTACTACTTATAAATAGCTAAAGTGATTGAACTGCCAAGTTCTGCGAGCTGAGCCAGTCACCAGAAGCTTTGTCGAAATTTCTGGATTCCGTTCGGAATTACCCCCATTGCTGTCTATCACCATTGCCATAGAAAAGTGGCAGTTGTCCCATGTGACATCACAGTAAAGCAGTACCGTCAAGCCGATTGCTGCCTTCGGTAACAACCTTCTGCTCTTTGCTTTAGGCCTCTAGTTTCCTATGTTCCGGCTAACTGAAATGGCAAAGAGGACAGCTAACCAAAGATTCGATTGTCAATGCTCGAAAACACTTCGCAGAAAACGAGAAGTTTCTATGATGATTTATGACGCCAAGAGACCGTCGTCTTTCTTGAACAAATTAGAAGTCTTTCGATTTTTTTGCGATATATCAAACAACCGCTAGTCGTAATGGAAAGCCATTAATCACCTCTCTTGAAGCTGGAGACGTGTTACTGATTTCATAAATAGAAGGCCTCTTGTTTGACGAATATAAGGCGTAATGCTTAGATAAGCACTTAAGTGTTAACTTTCTGGCATTCGTAGGGATTAGCTTTGCTAGACAATTTGTTTGTCGAGCCTGTCAAAGTACTCTGTGCGCTCCCCCAATATACAAAGCA